TTATAAAAGAAGCAAGACACATTTTTCTAAGGCTCTAATATCGCGCGTATACATGCGCATTTTTTTCTTCTTTCTCTTCGTGATTCTCCTTATATGAATGTAGTTAAATTGCGACGCCAAAAACCTAAGTTAAGAATTAAGCTCGATCACACCGAGCCGCGCGTCGACAGACGCGTGCAAATCATAAAATCATAAGTCAACGGCGCGCACTCGTGCGGCGCGACTCGGATCTCGGCGGGGATCTTAAATCTTAACTCGGGCTAATCGTCGATACCGGAACGCAGAGACGTTCGCCTTAGATGGTGCTTCATTTCTGCCACTCGATTATCTTTACAAGTCAATTTTGGGACAAGCGTGTAACGTTGTTAAATTAGCAATTGTTGCGGCACGCCAAAGATTCGCCGATGTAAGGTAGCGATTTTAGTAGTTCGTGTTGCGAGGCCATCGAAAGTGTTCCGTCGCTGCGTTCCATGGGATAAATTGTCAAATTTCTCGTCTATTCACTTTATGAAAAGGGGAGTATATAAAAATAGAAAGAAAGCTACATATTTGAAAAAGATGAATAGGTGTTCGTTTTACCAAGGATTAAACAAAATCTCAATGATTATCAATTAAAGAACACTAGGATACTGTCTTGGATTGTCGTACGCCAAGTACCTGAGAAGAACTGCGCGATCTCCTCTTTCGAGCAGCCAAACGGCAAGCCGCGCAATCTCACGCAACCGTCGTCCATCGCGTTCTCCAAATTGAGGCCGCTTCTCTTCACGACCCATTCCATCTCGCCGCGCTTTGCTTTAAAAACTGAAACGGCAACGGATACATAATTGTTACAACAATTCAGCCACACGGTTAATTTAACGTCTAAACTCGTTTAACACATTCTACAAATATCAGCGCATAAAGATAAGAAACTGCCCTGCATTTCGTAAGATTTTCACTCTACAAGCTCTGCGGCTCCTTTTTAAGCTGGTTCTACGGTAGACGCAACAAGTCGCAAGAAATCAACCAATCGCAGCCAAATATGAGAAGAATAATCGACTGTTATTGGCAGATTTCTTGCGGCTTGCGACTTGTTGCGTCTATTGTAGAACCAGCCTTACGCTTTCTCTTTTGTTCTATAGTGCGACATAGCTTGTAGAGACACAGGCCGGTATTCATAGTCAGATCTTATATTCAAGACCGTCTTGAGTTTATCCAAAGATGCTGTATGGAACATTTCATTGGCTACGGAGTATAGGCCTGAGCAGACTGGCTGTCTTGTAATTCTTAAGTCATAAGACAGTTGTTGTGCGTTACTTTAAGACAAAGATTTAAAACATAAAACATTGTCTTAAGAGTACAAGACAGCCATTCTGCTCAGGTCCTATCTAAAGACGATCTTAAGACAGTCTTGAACATAACATCCGACTATGAATACCAGCCAGTGTTACAGAGCATTTTTTACAAATGAAGAACCGTAAAGACCTGCGTCCACGATGCTAGAACTTGGTCCAAGTTCTAGTTTCGAGAAATGTGCCAATCGAACTCACAGCTATTCCATAAAAGCCGCAAGGTAATTGGCTACATATTTTTCAGAACTAGAACCTGGGCCAAGTTCTAGCATCGCGGACGCAGATCCTAAGAGAAATTCCAGATACAAATACGCTGAATAATTAATCTCGATGTGTATAAATGGATGAACCTTCGATGTAGCGGTGGTCCATGTGATCCCCGTCTCTCTTGCAGGCCTTCTCGATGTCCTCCGGAGTGTCCATCTCCACATAGGCCTCGCCGCTGGGGCGCCCCTCGCGGGACGTCGTCATGTGAACACCGTTCTTGCCATTCGAGATCGAGCAGTCGCCGAAGAACTTCATGATCTCGTCCACGGTGGTGGACCAGGGCAGCCCGCGCATCTTGATGACGTAGCCCTCCTCCTCGTGATCCCCGCTGCCGCTCGACATGATTCCAATCTAACACAGTCTTGCTACCAACTCTGATGCCTGTAAATACCAAGGCGAGATATATGTCGCGATTAGCTCTCGACGTAACGAGGCGACGCCGGTTGTACGACAGAAATGAGATTCGAGCGCGCAGAGTATCGGCTGCTCTCGCAGCGGTCGAGGCGCCGAGTGCGTCGCGTTCACGTCGACGTCCCGACAATCGCGTTAACGCGCGCGAAACATACACCGATCGTAAACAAACGTAATAAAAAAAAGGGGGGGAGGCGAGATTAAAACAAACACCGGAATAAAGGCTGGTCTACAATACATGGAGTAAGCTGGAGTAAGGAGTAGGAGTAAGAAATAAAATGGATTTATTTCCTTACTCCTACTCCTTACTCCAGCTTACTCCATGTATTGTAGACCAGCCTTAAGGAATCCCCGTCAACTCCGAGTCGCTTTCGGGCGCAGTGTCGACGGAGCGACCAATAAACGCTTCTACCGATGCAGATCAATTTTAATCTCCATTTGTCTTTCATTCTTTTCTAGTTCCAAAAGCGAGGGGATAAAAAGCAAGTTGAACCGAGCTCGAAGTTAATCTACGGTCCACAGCGATAGAAACGGACACGAAGAAAAACGCGAGGTGTACAAGGTTAAGCGCCATAATATTGACAGGCAGACCGGGCGAGACGAGGCGAGGCGAGGTTTGGTCGTTCGGTCGGCCGGGCTCGGTGCGTCCGCTTTCGATCGACTCGAGCGGGAGAATTACGCGGCGGGGCCGCGAGGTCGAGAATCCGACCGCGTCAGCCGCGTCGCGCGCAGCGGCGGAGAAGGCAAACGCGCCGGGAATCGACGGCCGGGCAGTTTCGTCGGCGGAGAACGCCGCCGCCGCGAGACGCGAGCGGCGGTCGATGACGGACAAGCGGATCTGCGGGAGGCGGACCCTCGCTCGACTTACCGTCGCGGGGACATCGAGGCACACTCATCCTCGAGCGCGAGGTCGATCGCTGGCGATCGCCCCATCGGTCGGAGAGACGCGCCGGAAAGTCAACGAGCACCGTCCTTCTTCTTCTTCTCTGGTTATTGGCTCCCGGCTCACAGACACTGAGCCGACACGGCCACGTCGAACGGTCGAACGGTCTTGGTCTTATGGCTCCTGCCCACTGGACGCGG